GAGGCTGAGAAGAAGCCAAAGAAAAGGGCTGAAGCTGTGAGAGTAATCATGGTGCACCAGGCTCTTGGAGACTGAGTATATATATACTGGAGACTATAGTATATAGGAAAAAAGTGTTCAATGAGACCAAGAAATGCTAATTTAAGATGCAGGACATATAAGTAGACCTAAAAAGGAGAGTGTTAAAACCATGAGAGGAGTGCGTACAGATGATAATTGAAGTAGTGAGTGGTAAAGCTGGTGAGAGGAAGGTGGGAATTGATGGGGTCAAGGACATAGACAGAAGCCTATGAGGCAGGCAAAAAAAGAGAGCGCCATGAAGAGGGTATCTCTTCACTCTTTCTCCTATTCATGGCATTGTAAAGACAAAGCAGATTATAAATTCCTGTCGAGGATACTGAGGCATTCAGTAGCACCCAGGGAAGCCTGATGAGTTCACGAAGTAGAAAAAAGGGAGGAAAAGAGGTTGAGAGACTGAGAGCAAAACTGAATGTTCCCTACCGTCCCTGAGGGAAAGAAAGAGGATCAGGTAGGACTTAAAGAACCAAAGTTCAGAGGATGTTGATCCCCGTCATCCTGATGATACCCAGCTTTGACACTTTCTCCTACTGTTGGCAGCTGGTTTATTTTCTGCAGCGATTTGTACTGGGCAGCTGGGCTTAGAATAATGACAGTTTTCCTCCCAGCTGCATTGCTCCCATCCCTCCAGAGGTTGTCCAGCTGGGAGCAGGGATGGGGAAGCTGAGAGTGGCATTTCAGGAAACTATCCCACCTTGGTAACAGAGTACCTAACCTCTCCTTACAGGGGTCACCACGGTACTTACAATGACTACCATCAACACTCATCTGCGGGAGACTCTCCCCAAGATCCCTTATGTCAAGGCTATTGATGTTTATCTCATGGGCTGCTTTGTCTTTGTGTTCCTGGCACTCCTGGAGTATGCTTTTGTCAACTATATATTCTTTGGGCGAGGCCCCCGGCAGCAGAAGAAACAGAATGAACGGATCAGCAAGGCCAACAATGAGCGCCACCGTTATGAGGAGAAGAGGGTGAGAGAGCAGGTTTGTCCCCTTCTTTCATTGTGGCAGAATTCAGCTCTCTGCTGCTCATTCAGTCCTGGGTGAGCTGTGGAGCAGCCTTTCTCTTCATCATGAGAGTTGAACTCATGTTCCCCTGTCTGGTGATTACTGGGAATTTTTTCTCCTTGATCATTTTGTCATCATCCTCAAGCCAGTGCCACCAGGACCATCATCCTCTTGCATGGTGCAGGTGTACCCAAAAGTACCCCTGTGGCTTTCGGTCCTACTGTGTTGGCAGAATCACACTACTCCGCTCAAAAGTTTGCTGCAAGCACATGTGGCTAGTCCTTCAACTTTGGCATCAGTGGACATTTTCAAATGCAGAAGTCCAGGTTCAAAGCTCACAAATGACCCAATCAATGGTATTGATACACAGAAAACCATTCAAAATCGTTCCAGATGGTGTGGCCCTGTGTGCATTGTGCACAGGACATCCCCACTACCTTTCTCTCTGTCTTCCCTGTTCTAGGTTGACCCTTATGGTAACATCCTTCTCAGCACTCTGGACATGAACAACGAGCTGCTTGCCACAGACATGATGAGCAGTGTTGGCGACTCTCGAAACTCTGTCATGTCCTTTGAAGGCTCAGGAATTCAGTTCCGCAAGCAGCTGGCCTCTCGGGATGGATTTGGTCACCACCCAACCCTGGACCGCCACGTCCCGCTGACCCACCATGCTGCAGCCCGCAACCGTGCCAACTGCCGTCTCCGCCGGCGGTCATCTAAGCTGAAGCTCAAAATCCCAGACCTGACAGACGTCAGCACCATTGACAAGTGGTCACGAATCATTTTTCCAATCACCTTTGGATTCTTCAACCTTGTTTACTGGTTGTACTATGTAAATTGATGCCTGCAGCCTCCGAGAGAGATAGGGACAGACACTCAGACAATGACAACACAGGAGTGTTGTGGTCTTTTGGGTTTGGGTTTTACTCTTTACTATCATTATCATTTATTCCTTTGATTCATTAGATTTATTCTAAGCTTACTCTTCTCTTTTCAGCACACATAGAACCACAGAGTGTGGGGGGTGGTAAGGGAGAGAAGGGTATATGGGGAGGGAGGGGGTTTGGTTTCAGGGAGGGATGTGTTTGTCTCGATTTTGGCTTCCTGTTGAAAGACTTAAACCATTGTAAAAAAAAAAAAAATCACCAAAAACAAAAACCAAAAAAAGAAAGAAAAAAAAAGAAAAAAGAGAAAAAAAACACAAACAAAAAAACTAACAAAAACAAAACAAGAAAAGTTTAAAAAAAGGGGGGAGGGAGATTTAAAGAAATTGAGTCAAAAACTGGTGGGGGAGATAGGTTATCTTTGGCTGTGCTCAGTAATGCGCTATCCTCACTTCCATTTCACTACTGAATTTCATCTTTCTCTTCTCAGTATTATCATATTTTTTAAATCTTTCTTCTGTCACTCCTCTTAACACCTTCATGTTTATTCTTTCATGGATTCATGAGATAGTGGGGTTTCATTCTCATGCTGTGAGATTTCTCTTTTCTTTTTCTCTCTCTCTCTCTTGCTTACAAGCCTAAAAGAATCTTTTAAACCAACAAATAAAAAGAATATTTATTTTGGAAGAGCTGGGAAGGGGAGAGGACAAGGCAATTATTTGGGAGGGAAGGGGCAATGTGGGGTTACGGGAGGGGGGGAGGAGGGACCTTATCAAAAACAAAGGCACATTTGCAAGTTGCCTTTTTCCACCTTCAGGAGTTTGCAAGCTGTTTTTCCTGTATGAATGTGTGGGTGTGTGAGGCGCATGTATGTAGATACGGATGTGTGTGTGCAAGCATGTTTTCTGGGGAGGGGAGCTGGGGAGGGGGGGTTTTGTAATGTCTTTTGTAGAAAGAGAACACAGAGGACATTTAACCGGCAGTGTTTTGGGGAGAATAGCAGGGTTTTGTTTGCTCATCGCAACTTTGCAAGGTTGGAGTTCTAGCTTGTGTTAGGGAGACAGAACTGGGGAGGTAGATTGTGCAAATATATTCTTGCTGAGGAAAGAGAGGGTTTCAGGGATCAGCAATGGGACAGTACTGCTGTCCACCGCTGGCATCTCATCTCTAGTTGACTAAGCTGATTCAGTCCTGACAGGAGGGGTTGTTCCTGATCATTCCCACCCTGCATCTTTCTTACTGAGTTTGGGGAGAAAAGCAGTTGCAGGACTCTGAAAACTCAACCCTTCCCCCTCTCAATTGGTTCCTTGTGCCAGACAAGGGACTTCACACTCCAGCCCTCTGAGTGACCATAGCCTACGGCAAGGTGCAGGAAAGGGTGGGTGTCATTTAGCTTTGTTGTGCTTCAGGGCAAAAAAATCCAGCAACGATGACTATTCCCTTTCTTAAGAAGTTCAGAAGCAAACGGTGGGCTGGCAACCTCTGATACGTACTGCTTCTATCAGGCCTTGCTTTATGTCTGTTAATGCATTCAAGGCAAAGAGAAAAACACGCTGTGTCCCTTCTTGCAGGAGATGTAACTAAGGATGCAGTAGAGTTCCATGGAGCGTCATCCCACTGGAAGACTTCAAAGACTGGGTGGGGTGAAGGTTGCAATGAAAATGCTGAGCCTACCAGTGCTTGTGGAAGCCCCTAAGTGTGTAGCAGCTTCCATCCCCAGGCACTCATTATAAAGGTACAGAAGGGTAACTTGGCCTTGGACAGCAAGGTCAACTTCTTCCAAAGGAGCCAGTGAGTTTCAGGAAAATCACTGAATTATTGGCCACTTTGGCAATCACTGATGATTGATAATCTCCCTTACAATATTAATAAAAGCCATGAAAATAATACATTCACAAGTGCAAAACTTTAACCCTAGGGTCATTCTGCCATTCCTGGACTAATGAGAACCTTGTTATTACCTGATGGAGATTTTTTCATACCAGACACAGATACACACACACTGCCTTGAGTACAAACATCCCTTTATCTTCCTGCTAGCATTCTCTTCCTTTTTCCTTGATTCCCATTGCTTAGGAGAGCAGAGTGATCCTCTGAGACCAGGGAAACTCCTGTTTTTCAGATGACAGATGCATCTAATGCACATCTTTTCATTCACTAATTTTTGTTTGTACAGTGCTATGAAAATGTGAATCATTATACACCTGACATAGTAACACTGAAGTCATGAACAGTTTTGCCTTGACTTGGGTGAAGCAGGATCAGGGTTCATCAGAGTAGTAAGTGTTGTTATTTTTATATCAGTAATGTGTCTTATGCATTTGCTACTAATAGAATTCTAAGCATATAAGCAGAACATCCATCCTTCTCAATCGCTCACAATCTCTGTCCCCCTCTCTCGTGTTCATGCATGCACACATTTGGTCCAGGCCTCCCTGGACTCACCAAGGTTTTAACACAATTGTTAAATCAGACTCAGATTCCCAGCTGCCCTGCAGAGCAGTCTCTTGCTTGTTTCCACATTCAAGAGTGATGCTGTTGAAAATGGGTTTTCCCAGTGTTATTGAAGATTACAGTCTAGATTGGTCTGTACAGGAGCAAGAGTCTGAAGAGCGAATGGAGCTGGATGATAGGGCTAGGGCTGGATCAGGTAGTTTTGTCTACCTGATACACAGGAAGTTAAAGCTTGGCCAATGGAGAAAGTTATGCTTTCTAGATTCTATTTCGAAATGGCTTTTAAATGTTTTAATGGAAGTCATAAAGTTGTGTTTTATGACATCAGCAGTACAGTGTAGGTGGATATATGCTTGTCAGATGACTGCAGTTCCCAGATGGAGGCTGCCTATCAGCATGTTCAGTTTTAAAGGGGAGTCTAACCAGCTTATTGATGATTAAATAAAATATCTAAACACTTAGCTTTTATATACGTTATTGCAATGTAAAAGATGGTCAGAACCAGAGAAGGGAAACAAAGCAGCAGTTGTAAGCCTGTTAAGATTGGAGGGAGAACAAATGGCCATGTGGTGAGAAATTATGAAGCTGAGGGAGATGACTCAGGAACTCCAGTAATTTGATAGTTCTAGTAAAAGCCTGACAAATGTGTGGTAGGACTTGGGCACCTGAGAGCTCTCTCAGCTGGTTCCCAAGAGTAGCAGGGGCAGCAGCACACAGATGATGCAAAACCCGCCTATGCTCTTTGCTGTTCAGGCACTGAACCCCACACAGAGTGGGGTCCTGACCAACCCCATCCAGCACCCTGCAGGTACAACCCAGGTCCTCCAGCAGCTGGAGATCAGGAACAGGGGGGCTGTGTTTAATATCTGAGGCTTCAGTCAGAGATTAAGCCCAGAATTTCATAGCCACAATCCAAAAGCTTTCCAGGGAAAAAGCACTGCTCAGCTGATTTCTTCATCTGCTGGGACTGGGAGCCAGACTCCTTTGCTATTGCCTTGGTTCTCTGTTGGCTGGGTTCTCTTTCTTATCAGGAGTCATCCTAGTTTCTCTCTTTGAATGTTTCTGACCTGGTATTACCAGGTCAGTTTTACTTCATAGAGTCAGTCTTAGTATATCTAGACATCTGGACTATTTGGTCCTACACAATAAACTTTGCCAAAGAGTGTGCGGTCAGGACTTTTCACAGTTCAGGAACTGCCTTATAATTTCTGGTGAAGGGGCAGAATGCTGGAGAACAACTGAGTGTCCTGTGAGACAGATGAGTAGTAGAAAATGTGTTCCCATAGAGGGGTGAGGGAAGAATGCTGAAGGCCTTTAGAAATGCCCTCCTCCAGAACTGAGGTGGCACCTCCATTTTCCCCCTCCATAGTGTCTGTGTCCACCTCTAAGAAAGGCAATAAACCCATGTCTAGTTTTGAGGTCCAGAAAGGAGATAGTGGAAAAAAAAAACAAAAACATTTTAGTTGTACTCAAGGCTCAGAAGTTTCAAGCCATCACAAGCATGTGGAAAGGAAATGCACGAACCTTTCATGCAGCAGATACAAAGCTCATGTTACCGGAAAAGTGTGTGTGGAGGATATTTCCACACTGCAGCTTGTGTGCCCACTGCTGTCCACCTTTTCTTCGCTAAGGGAGAGCAGTGGGGAAAGGGGGAGGAAAAATTGTGAGTGCTATTCCAAAGTGGAGCTGCTTCTGACCTTCAGTGCAGGGTTACAGGAGGTAATTCTGATGGCGGCTTGGTTGGTTTGCAGCTTGGGGCAGGGTTGCTGCTTGCTGGGTCATGTTTTTTAGCAGAGGCTGTAACACGAGCATGAGGGATGCTCCAGGCTGCCTGAGGGAGCTGGGCTGGGGGAGAATGTTTTGCACCTTTTCCGGGCATAACAGCCTAAGGCAGGCATGTGGAGGAGGAGAAGGAAGAGGAGAAACAGAAATTGAATCTCTCTCAGGGTACACATGGCCAACGCAACTCTATTGCTTCATTTTCTGATACTGTATAGTGCTGTCACTCAGGGACCTCTAGGAACTAGGACCTTGGGACTGTAATCCTACCCCTCCTATCCCCCCTTCACCTTAAGTATTAAGAACTGAAGAGAAAATGAGACAGAGAGCAAAAAAGGAAAATAAGAGCCCTGGTAGCAAACCCCTGCTATTCCATGGGTGAAAGTAAAGCTTTGGTTACTAAGGTAAAAGGAAAATGTATACCTTTATATTTACGTCTTCAAGCATAAGCCAGCCCATAGTGTATATAGGATAAGTTCACAGTGCATGAAACAAACAGGACTGTAGGTCTTAAATGGCATCCAGCTTTCTTGCATGCACATCTGACACCATGCCAGCAGCTTATGTCTTGCGAATAAGTAGAGATCCTGCCAAGACTTGGCACTTCCTCTGTCCAATGGACAGCACATCCACTTCCCAGAAACAGAGCCACGCAGGGGACTGATCCGGCCAGTCTGTTTGACCAGATCTGCTCCAGAGGCTGTGACAGGAGGAGATAAGGAGTGGGGGAGGGAGGTGGTTTTGTTTTCTTTTTTGTGGGGAGGAGGAAGGGGTTTTAAATCTCTGAGCTGTTACCAGGCAGAAGATAAACCTCTGGAGCTCCAGACCAAAGGACAGTGGCTTTAGGGAAGGTGATTACTGAAATTCTAACGGAGAGGATGGGATGAGGAAGAGGTTGGTGGTGGGTGGGAGCTGTAACTTTAGAAGCAGAGCAAATGGGAGAGAGGTAGTGAAAGTAT